CTACTATATGGTTCTAGACTGCAGAAATAAGTCCACAATAGGTAAATATTTACTGTAGTATGGTTTGGAGGAGAGAGAGGAAGGACAGGAACAATCTGAATGCCACTTGGTCTATAAAGATATTTTCTCCATTTTTTTTTTTTTTTTTTTTTTTTTTTTTGAGTTGGAGTCTCACTCTGTCACCTGGGCTGGACTGTTGTGGTGTCAGCCTAGCTCACAGCAACATCAACCTCCTGGGCTCAAGCGATCCTCCTGCCTCAGCCTCCTGAGTAGCTGGGAATACAGGTGCTCACCAGCATGCATGGCTAATGTTTTTATTTTTTAGTAGAGATGTGGTCTTGCTCTTACTCAGGCTGGTCTTGAACTCCTGGCCTCAAGTGATCCTTCTGCCTTGGCCTCCGTGAGTGCTAGTATTACAAGCATGAGCCATCTCACCCAACCCCTACAAAGATATTTTATTTAGGCTGCAGCACATTTAAATTTTTCGATTAGTAATCAGGTTGAAAAACAGAGCAGCATTGTCCAAAAGAACTTCTTATGTTGATAGCAATGTTCTAAATCTGTACTGTCTAATATTATAGTCACTAGCCACATATTGCTCTTGAGCACTTAGAAATCCAGCTAATGCCACTGAGGAATTAAACTCTTTATTTAATTTTAATGAAATTTAAATTTAAATAACTACAAGTGACTAATGGCTACCACACTGGACAATGCAGATCTAGAGATTTCTCATTAAGGTCAGGGTTTCCAATTTTTTTTTTTTTTTTTTAAAGACAAGGTCTTATTCTGTCACCCAGAGCTCGAGTAAAGTGGCATCATCATAGCTCACTACAACCTCAAATGCCTGGAGCCTCCTGAGTAGCTGGGACCACAGGCATGCACTACTAAGTCTAGCTAATTTTTCTACTTTTTTTGTAGAGACAGGGTCTCACATGTGCTTAGGCTGGTCTCGAACTCCTAGCCTCAAGCAATCCTCCCACCTCAGCCTCCCAAAGTGCTAGGGTTATAGGCATGAGCACCCGGCCTAGGCTCTTTCAACTTCTATTTTAAAACCTGAAAGAAAAAAAAAAAAAACCTGAGGATCTGTCAATACCAAGTCTATATTTCTGCAAGGCAACAATTGGCTGAATCTGAGAAGTTGCAGCTACCCCTAAACAGGGCTGCAGCAACTCTCCAGTTTGCCACAGTCCCCACCACTCCCTATTTTCTCACACTCTCCTACCCTCCCACCTCATTCATATGGCCTGCCAGACCCCTTGAGGCATCTGAGTTTATGACCCCAACCTGTACGGTTTCCTATGCCCAAACCCCCTTAACTCTACCAAACGAAACCCTCCAAACTCAGGCTTCAATGCTACCTTCACTAACAGAGAACACTCCCAACATAACAAAGCTTGAGATTGTTTCTTCCTTTCCTGAACTCTGACAATCCACTTAACACCCTACATGGCCTTGGAAGCTAAAATTATCTTCCAGATTCTTCTATTTTCCCCAGACTGCAAGCTCTAGGGTAGCTGGGACTCTGCCTTATGTGCCTACACTTCTCACAGCATCTTGCCTGGCACAGAACTCTGACCACAGAAGGCTGTCAGCATCCTTTCCATTGATGAGTGACAAGATTCCATTGTGCCATCTCTTTCCCTCTTTGAAAAGCTCCAACCTGTTGTTCTGCCAGCCTCTCCTACCCTGCACCCCCTTTCCCGTTTCCCTGTCTGCGTCCACATTACCCTGGAGCGGGGGATCACGTCTGAGTAATGTCAGGGTGCTGGGAGCTGAGAAACAGGCGAGACTTGCAGCTTTCAGCCTAGCTATTCCATTTCTTCCCTTATCTTCCCACTCCAAATATTACTGTAAACTACAGACACATTTTGTTTGGCCTACACAGTGTTTACACAAATCGGATTAGTCACCAACGTTTTGTTTTTTTTTTTAATGGGAAGATTTCGTCTATCTGTATGGATTTCTGGGTTTTCTTGAAAATTACTCAATTTGATATTTCCTGACAGTTAACAATCGGATGGAGCTGAGGGACAAATGTCATCTCTGGACAGGGCTGTGGCCTCCAGTTCTTCCAGTCCTCATCTGCCTTCCTGCCTCGCCCTTATAATAAACATCATTGTAACATTAATAACGATAATAGCAGCAAGCATTTATTGAGCCTTCATTATATGCTGGGTGCTACTGTAATCATCTATATATCATCTTTTTTTTTTTTTCTGAGACAGAGTCTTGCTCTGTTGCACTGGCTACAGTGCTGTGGCGTCAGCCTAGCTCATAGCAACCTCAAACTCCTGGGCTCAAGCAATCCTCCTGCCTTCAGCCTCCTGAGTAGCTGGGACTACAGATGTGTACCACCATGCCCGGCTAATTTTTTTTTTCTATTTTAGTTGCCCAGCTAATTTCTTTTTATTTTTAGTAGAGACAGGGTCTCACTCTTGCTGAGGCTGGTCTCAAACTCCTGACCTCAAACGATCCTCCCACCTCGGCCTTCCAGAGTGGTAGGATTATAGACATGAGCCACTGTGCCCAGCCTATATAATCTTATTTCATTCCCACACCACCACCTTGAGGCATATACTACATTATTAACCCCATTTCATGGACAAGGTAAATAAAGGCCAGATAAGTTAACTAACTTGCCCAAAACCAGAGTTAGGAATCAACCCCGGGTAGTCTAATTTCAAAGCTCTTACACTTAACCACTCCTCTCTGCTATTATTACACACTTGAGCTGAGACTCCTGGCCTACAACCTGCACCATTCTTAAGTTAAACAATCAAGAAAGACTCTCGGAGGCCGGGCGTGGTGGCTCACGCCTGTAATCCTAGCACTTTGGGAGGCCGAGGCGGGCGGATCGCTCAAGGTCAGGAGTTCGAAACCAGCCTGAGCGAGACCCCGTCTCTACCAAAAATAGAAAGAAACTAATTGACCAACTAAAAATATATATACAAAAATTAGCCGCATGGTGGCGCATGCCTGTAGTCCCAGCTACTTGGGAGGCTGAGGCAGTAGGATCGCTGAGCCCAGGAGTTTGAGGTTGCTGTGAGCCAGGCTGACGCCACGGCACTCACTCTAGCCTGGGCAACAAAGTGAGACTCTGTCTCAAAAAAAAAAAAAAAAAAAAGAAAGACTCTCGGGCCGGGCGCTCACACCTGTAATCCTAGCACTCTGGGAGGCCGAGGTGGGTGGATTGCTCGAGGTCAGGAGTTCGAAACCAACTTGAGCAAGAGCGAGACCCCCGTCTCTACTATAAATAGAAAGAAATTTGTTGGCCAACTAATACATATAGAAAAAAATTAGCCGGGCATGGTGGCGCATGCCTGAAGTCCCAGCTACTTGGGAGGCTAAAGCAGCAGGATTGCTTGAGCCCAGGAGTTTGAGGTTGCTGTGAGCTAGGCTGACGCCACGGCACTCACTCTAGCCTGGGCAACAAAGTGAGGCTCTGTCTCTCAAAAAAAAAAAAAGAAAAAAAGAAAGACTCTTGACTGGGCACAGTGGCTCACACCTGTAATCCTAGCACCCTGGGAGGCTGAAGCCGGAGGATCGCTCAAGGTCAGGAGTTCAAGACCAGCCTGAGCAAGAATGAGATCCCTGTCTATACTAAAAATAGAAAGAAATTAATCGGCCAATTAAAAGTATATAGAAAAAATTAGCCGGGCATAGTGGCACATGCCTGTGGTCCCCGCTACTCAGGAGGCTGAGGCAGACAGATTGCTTCACCCTGGGAATTGGAGGTTGCTGTGAGCTAGGCTGACGCCATGGCACTCTAGCCTGGGTACCCTGTCTCAAAAAAAGAGAGACTCCTATAGCAGTGTAACCAATATATAATTTTAACCAGAAAATTAACTCATTTTCTCTAATTGCTCATTAATAGAGTGGATTTAAAGCTTACAGTGGGAAAGAGAAAACACATGAAGGAATCAAGGGGCTATTTACAAAGAAAAATCCTTACACAGACTTAACTAAAGTTATATAGGAAAAGAGACATCAAAGTTTGTTACCCTCCCAAAAGCTGATCCTAGCAAAAAATGCAAATAAGCATTAAAATCCAGAATATCAATTTTCACATCGAGGTGGATGGGGAAACACCTTGGGGTCCTCAAGAGTCTTTTAGGAGGTCTGCATTATTATTTTCATAATAATATCCAGACATTCTGCCTTTTTCATTTTCTACTGAAGCTTTCCAGAGGCTACAAGACATGGTATCTCAAGAGGCTGAATGCAGAAGCAGATATGAGAATTCAAATGACTGTAAAAATGGAAGTTGATGTCATTTTTCCCATTGAATTTTTCTCAGTTTTTAATAAAAGTCAATTTTGTTCATATATAATTGGTTTATTATTGCTCTTTTAAAATCAATTAATAAATATCTTAAAAATTCATCATTTTAAACTTCTAATACAGCAAATATCAGTAGATATAGTTCACATCAACAAAAACTCTCCGGGTTTCTCAATAATTTTTTTAGTGTAAAGGGGTTTTAAAAGCAAAAGTTTGAGAACTGCTGCTCTGAAGAGAAAAAATCTCTCTGCAGATGCACGTGCCCAAGCGGATATGTTTCTAACACACAAGGAAACCCTAAACCCAAAATTCCAAACTGGTGGCCAGAAAACATGCATTTCCACTTGGCCATTTCCACTGGCTGGCAGCACTTAAACGGGGCGCACAATCGCCACTATTTCTACTACTACTGTCCCTTACCTGCGCATCCCCTGTAAGTATCCAAGTTGCTACCCTAAGTTAGAGAAGGAAAAACTTTTTTTGCAATGAACATGAACAATGAAACATATATTAATCTTAATACATGTCTGCATTCCTCCAAAGAGGTCAACATGCACAATAAATAACCATTTTATCTGACATCCCAAAGCGGCAACCTGTACGGTCTCAGCATTGGTACAGATACTCCCGGATTGATCAGAAACCCTTTTGAGAAAGAAAAGGATCCACCTAACAAAGCAGGCATCTCTGGATAAGTGCAAAGGAAGGAAACTCACCAGGAGAAGAGCAAGTGAGTGACTCTCCGTGCAACAGGAGAGCCCAGTTTAGGCCCCACAGGGAGGGGATTCAGGTGACAATCACACCATTGGATATTTCCTCCTGGAACGCTGGGTGGTGAATTCAGGACACTTTCAATTTCTTTTGCCCTGAAAGCAGGTGGTGGGAAGGAAGGTACCGTCAGAACTTGGGTAGCAAAAGAAACATGCACACAGGTGTGAAATTAGGGAGAGGGACAATTTTTGGAAAAAGGAAGAAAGCAACACTAAACGGGAGATCTAATGGGGAAGAAAGGTTATTTCGGTAAGAGGAAATTTTTTCCTCTCCGTTTATTATTTCCCCCACCCCAGGAAGGGACCTAGATCTAGGGTTTCGCTGGGAGAAGCTTAATTCGGGTGGAATTGGTGATGAAAACGGATTTTTGTTGCAAAGTTGGGGTGGAGGATTGGAAACATAAATGCTAAACAAAAGAGAAACTGGAAGGATTGAGTTGGTTTGTTATAAGCAGAAAGATATTCCAAAAGGTGGGACTCTAGGTGGGAAGAAAAAATTTGTGCTGGAAAGTAGTGATACCGAATGGAGGAAAAAATTCTGAGTTAAAAAATATAGTAAATTTTTGCTAGAAGAAGTTCCTAAAAGGAGGGGGAGGGACGTAATCCAGGAAGATCGTAGGGATTTCTGGTTTTCCTGGAAGATCCTAAAATGTGACAGATCTAGGTCCCCTAAAGTGGAGCTACTGAGGAGGAAGGGGGATTTTTAGCAGAAGGGGCCTGGAAGGGGACGGTGAATGCAAGGCCGAGATGCAGAAAGTCGGAGGTCGGGTAGGGCCCGCGGCGCGAGCTGGGGGGCTGCGACCGGGCAGTTGGGGCCTGAGGGGGCGGGGTGGGAAGGAGAAGGGGGTGCAGCGGGCCAGGGGCCGCTGAGGAGAGACTTCTCCAAGGAGGAAGGGGCTGCGGGGCTGCAGCGGGGCCCGGAGCAGTTGGGGTGCAGAAGGTGCGTGCGTGACGCAGGGAGCCGGGCGCCGGCCGCGCCTGCTGCGCCCCTCGAAAGGGAGATGGACCCCCTAAAAAAGAAATATAGAAACGAATGAGATTGTAAAAGGGGGAGGGGTTGAAAAAAGAGGAAGGGGCCGGAAAGAGGGGGTAGGAAGGAAAGGAAGGGGGCAGGGGCAGCAGCAACCGGGTTTTACCCGCCCCCGGGGGCTCGCGCGCCGGGCCTCGAGCCTCGCGCCTCGCGGGGCTCCCAGCCGCCCCCCTGCCTCCTCCGCGCCGCCAGCCCGCCTGGCGCGCACGCGCAGCCCCGGGCCCCGAGCCCCGGCCGGCTCGGGCGGCGGCGCGCGTACGTGGCCGCGGGCAGCCTCGCGCCGCTCCGAGCGCCCTCGCGCCGGCCTCGCGCCGCCCGGGCTCCGGCGCGTGCGCCGCCGCGCATGCTCGGCGGCGCTCCGGGGGGCGGGGCCGCGCGAGGGGCGGGGCCTGCGCGGGCGGGAAAGGAGGCCGTTGGTCGCCATCTTGGGAGGAGGGCGGTTGAGGGCGGGAGAGGGTGAAGGCGGAGCCCGGGCTGCGGCTGCGGGGGGAAAGGGGCAGCGGGGGGAGGGGCCGGCCCCCGGCCCCCACGACCCGCACCCGGAGGCCGAGGGTCCCGCCGCTCCGCTCATTGTTTCTGGAGGGCGGTGTCAGAACGCGGCCGAAGCGCCCCGGCTCCCCGCGGGCCTCTCTGAGACGCGCAGGCTGCACTGGGGCCGCGTCCGCAGCATCGTGGCGCCCGGGACGCCGCCCCGCGTGTTTCCGCGTGGGCTGTCGCGGGCGCGGGGGACACCGAGGCCCGCCCTGCCCCGCGTGGGGCGGGGAGATGCGGGGCTTGAGAGCCGTGGGCGGGACGGCAGCCACTCCCGCCTCGTCTGGGCACACGCGGACCTGTGGCCCCGCTCCGTGCTGAGGGACGGATGGGACCGGGAAGGGCAGCGGCTTGGATTCGCCAGGGAATTCAAGCCTTAGCGATGGAGCGCCGAGGGTCTGCGGAGACCGAGAGCAGATCCGTGCTGGCCTGGGGGTGGGAACCCGCATTAACTGTTAACCTAAATGGGGCGTCTTGGGGTGATGGAGACATTCTGTTACAGAAATGGGCTTCGGTGATGGTTGCACAACTCAGCAAACAGACTAAACATAGTTGAATTCTACATTTCATTGTCTATAATCACTCCGTCGACAGGGCTCACAGCAACCTCAAACTCCTGGGCTCAAGCCATCCTCCTGCCTCAGCCTCCCAGGCAGCTGGGACTACAGGCGTGTGCAATTATACATTTTAAATGGGTGACTTTTATGTAAATTATACCTCAAAGTTTTCTACAAAATTGATTTCTAAAGGGGAAAACAGGAAAGAAGAGGGCTGCTGTTCTACTTTTGGTTTGCTTCATTTAGCAAGTATATTCTAGATGCTGAGCTACAGTGTCTGGGTCACACAAATGTCCCTGCCTTCCTGGAGTTAATGTTTTAGAGTAATATTGCTCAACAGAAATACAATGCAAGCTTCAAGACACCAGCCCCATATGTCATTTTACATTTTCTAGTACCATGTTTCCCCGAAAATAAGACAAGGTCTTATATTTATTTTTCCTCAAGATGATACTCTAGGGCTTATTTTCAGGGGATGTGTTATTTTTTTTAAGAACAGTACAACAATTTACATTTATTCAAATATAGTTAAGTTGTCTTCTTCTGGAACATCATCATAACTCTCCAAACCCTGGATTCCATCCTGAATTTCTTTCGACTCTATTTCCTTTAGAGCCATTGGATCCAATCTCTCATGTTGAGCAATAGAGCTCTCCTAGGGCAGATAAGAAGGGCTGCCCGTGTTCTTTACCGCTCCTCGAAGAAATGCATGGGTTGTGCAGATGCCCTGTGTAGCCACACCCATCACTAGGTCTTATTTTCGGGGTAGGGCTTATATTGTGCAACTGCTTAGAATTCCTGCTAGGGCTTATTTTATGGGTAGGTCTTATTTTGGGGGAAACATGGTAGCTGTGTTTTTTTTAAAAAAAGGAAAGAAGCACAGGTGGAATTAATTTTAATAATATATTTTACCCAAAATATTATTCCAACATGTTATCAATAGAAAAGTTTTTAATAGATAAAGATATTTACACTTTGTGGGCTAAGTCTTTAAAATCCGGTGTATACAGTATATTATATTCACACGACAACTCAATTCAAACCAGCCACATTTCCAGGGCTCCATAGGCACATGTATCTCTGGTACTGGACAGCATACCTCTTCGGGAACTGGGGGGACACCCGTACATTTATAATACAATGTGGTTATACTTTGAAGAAAGATATAGGAAAGAGGATAGAATCACAGGGTGCTATCTTATACAGGTTAGTAAAGGCCTCTCTGGTGAGATTAATATTGAGCAGAGACCTGAAGGAAATGGGAAAGGGGACTACCAAAATATCTGGTGGAAGAAGAGAGGGAACAGCATGTTCAAAGGCCCTGAGGCAGGAAATGTGGGACCCCTGTAAAAATGACCAGTGTGGCTAGAACCATGTGAATCAAGGAAAGAAGAAACTAAGGGCAGATCCTGTAGGGGCTTGTGGGTCATGCTAAGGCAGGAATTAAACACCTACTAATAATTTAGGTATTCTAAATTCTTCCTTTATTTAGCACCCATTTTTAAAAATTAGTTTCAGCCATGTGATCTATCCCTTGATAGAGGAAATAAGGACCCCAGCCACTGGATAGATGTGAGTTTAGTTAAAAAACAGACGTAAGCTCCAGAAATAAATTAGCATCTTTCTGTCTTTTGATAAACAATGAACACTTTATGGACAAAGACAGAAGTTAGTTGCAATACACACACACACACACAAATGACATTCAGAATGTATTTTAAAGGCCTATAAATGTGACAACCCAAAAAGAATAAAAGATATGAAGAGTCACTTTGTACAAGCGGAAACATGAAATAAGGGCTAACCACAATAACCAGGGAATGCAAATTAAAACCACAGATACTATGAAACACCCACCAATTTGTCAAATTTTTAAATTTTTTCTGTTCCACGAAGCAAGAGGAACTCATACAATTCCAATACCAGGAACTCATTCCTGGTAACGGGTAAAACTGGTACAGCCACATGGGCAAATCCCACAACCAGGAGTTGACTTAAGAGAAATTCTTGATCACATGCACCAGGAGATATACACAAGAGCAGCAATGTTTGTCATTGAAAAAAAAAAAAATCCTGGATTGAATTCTGGATCTTGCATTGAATGATCCTGGAACAGGAAAAAAAAAAAAAGGACATTAGTAGAAAAACTAGTGAAATCTCAGAAATCTCAACAAAGATCAGAATTTGGTTAATAGTAATAATCTATCCATGTTTCTGTAGTTTCTGCAAATGTACAGTCCTGTGTCACTTGATGGGACACATTCAGAGAATTTGCATTTCTAACAAGGTCTCAGGTGATATGGCTGCTCCTGAACTGAGGGCCACACTGAGTGTCACTAGTTTTTGTACAGGCATACTTTGGAGACATTTTGGGTTCAGTTCCTGAGCAATGCAATAGAGCAAAGTCACATGAATTTTTTGGTTTCTTGGTGCATATAAAAATTATATTTACGCTGTACAGTAGTCTATCAACTGTACAATAGCATTATGCCTAATAAAAGTACTACCTTAATTTTAAAAATACTTTATTGCTGGCCGGGCGAGGTGGCTCACGCCTGTAATCCTAGCACTCTGGGAGGCCGAGGCAGGCGGATTGCTCGAGTTCAAAACCAGCCTGAGCAAGACCCCGTCTCTACTATAAATAGAAAGAAATTAATTGGCCAACTAATATATATATAGAAAAAAATTAGCCAGGCATGGTGGCACATGCCTGTAGTCCCAGCTACTTGGAAGGCTGAGGCAGGAGGATTGCTTGAGCCCAGGAGATTGAGGTTGCTGTGAGCTAGGCTGATGCTACGGCACTCACTCTAGCCTGGGCAACAAAGCGAGACTCTGTCTCAAAAAAAAAAAAAAATGCTTTATTGCTTAAAAAAAAGCTAACAATCATCTGAGTCTTCAAGGAGTCATAATCTTTTTGCTGGTAGGGGGCCTTGCCTCAACGTTCATGAACGCTGACCTATCAGGTTGGTGATTGCTAAAGGCTGGCATGACTGTGGCAATTTCCTAAAATAAGACAATAATGAAGTTTGCCACATTGATTGACTCTTCCTTTCACAAACCATTTCTCTGTACCATATGATGCTCTTTGATAGCTTTTTACCCACAGCAGAGCTACTTTCAAACTTGGAGTCAATCATCTCAACCCCTGCCTCTGCTTTATCAAGTAAATTGATGTCATATTCTAAATCTTTTGTTATAATTTCAACAATATTCATAGTGTAAGGCTGGTGGTGGGCCTCCCTCCCCTCCCTAGATCAAAAAGAAAAGGCTCAGGAGACCAGACCTGACAAGGACAACTGCCAGGCCCCCCTGAAAACAACAACACCTGGATATCCACCCAGATAAGAAAGTTTTCGGTTCCTGGTTTCCGCAAATACTGCCAGCTCCTCCTATTTCTCAATGACTGCCAAAGGTCACAGTGGAAAAACCCCAGCTCTTCCCTCCAAAAGTTCCTAGCCCGCCCCAAACAGTATAAAAGCCTTCACCCCTTTCAAACACGCGCCACTTCTTGGCCACTCCCCCTCTCATGGAACCCTCGAACCTTGCCCGGGAACGCTCAATAAAACCACGTTGTTTGGCTCCACTCTCTCTCTCTGCTTCTTTCGCCACCGGAAGAACTTTACACATGCCATCTTCACCAGGAATGGATTCCATCTCAAGAGATCTTTCTTTGTTCATCAATAAGAAGTAACTCCTCATTTGTTTAAGTTTTTTTGGTTTTTTTGGTTTTTTTTTAGACAAAGTCTCACTCTGTTACCTGGGACTACAGACTCAGGCCATCATGCCCAGCTAATTTTTCATATATATATATATATATATTTA